ATACTTTTAGTTTTCCTTTGAGACAGGTTCTCACTAAGTTGCTCAGTTTRGCCTAGAATTCTCCCCTCCTGCCTCATCCTCAGAGTATCTGGGATTACAGATATACACTATCATTCATATATATATATATACTGTGCTTCTTGCCCAAACCAACTTTGCCAACCAAATGTCCAATTATTGGAGTTAAATATTTTAAAGATATTTTTAGCACCTTTCCTTTATTTTTGCCTAATAGTATAACCTATTAGTATAAATTACCTCTAACCAGCAATTAAAGGCACATGCCAAGGAAATAATTCTAGACCTTAAACACAAAATTAATCTAGTTATACTCAGCAGGGATGTGTGAGTGAGCAGAAACTACTTCCTGAAAAGGCAATCATATCTAGTCTGTCTTCAGGAACTTCAAGAACCCAGATTAAGTATATTATCTGTGGGACCTTCAGTGCCAGACACCTAAAAATAATCTTTCCTAGTCTCCTGACTTAGAAGTCACTCTTTGAACCTGTTTRAAATTGTTTTCTGCCCCCCAAGAAAATTATGAATGTGGATTGCTTTGAGGTTTCATTTCAAGAACTCTACTTTTCTAAGGGAGACAAAATATTTTAAAATYGTCACAATTATCTAGGAACTCCATTGCCTTGCTTCTTTTATACCTTGTCCTTTCTAGGACCACTCATTGTGACTTTTTTCCTGTCCTATGATAACTACCCCTATCCTAGTCAATGCCTGGTCCTATTTGTGTAGAACCATCAAAGCAAAGCAACAGGGCTGGTAAAAGAAAATGAGAAGAAATATTAGGCCAATGAATTTCTAGCTGTCTTTCTTTTTGTGTCATATAAGTAATTTATTTTACTGTGTTCTTTAAGTCTAGATGGTTTGCCAAATGCCATAGTTGTACAAATGTGAGAAACTGAATCATCTCCATCTCTCTATTGTTAATTGGTTCCTTCTCYAATGTCCTCTTCCAGAACAAGGTCAATGCCACCAGCCTACCTTTTAAAAGGTAGAGGGCTCCCTCCTGTGGGCAAGTAGCTAAAATAGTCCCCTTGGCAACAGACAACTCCAAACCCTGACATCAAACACTGAGAAACCCCCAAGATTGTATTCTCAGAAGAAAATAGGAAATGGAAGAAAGACTTAGAAAGAGAAAAGTAGCACTGGAAAAGAATGGTGATAGAGGCTTTTTAAAGAATCAATAGAATAAATACTAGAGGAAATAAAGAAACAGAAGGGCCAAAGCATGCATATAACAATTAGATAATGGAAAGAATGAAAGGGGAGAAAGGAAGAGTATASTAACATATCCAAAAATATATAACTAGGGCACACTCTTTGATCCAAACACATGATGACAATCTTTTTTAAAAGTCGAAAAAAATGACTACTAGTGCAACTAATACTTTAAACATTTAAATAATTATCAGAATTTTTCTAATGTTTTCCAGGTAATTGACCACTGTAACATGTTGGTCTCTAATATTATCCTTACATAAAATCCAAAGGAAAACGTGTGTTCATTATACTGAGATGCTAAGTCTGAGATATGAGCAATTATATGTTTTCTATTTTAAAAATGATATCACATAATGCTATAATTGTGTTCTTCTATGTGTCAAGCACTATGCAAAAAAAAAAAAATAGTGCATCATCTATTTAATGAACTAGTAGATGAAAGAGCCATAAAAGAAGAGCATGGGGGCTGGGGTTGTGGCTCAGTGGTAGCACACTTGCCTAGCATGTGTGACACACTGGGTTCAATTCTCAGCACCACAAACAAATAAGTAAAATAGATGTCTTTTAAAATAGATGTCTTTTAAAGGTCCATCAACAACTAAAAATATTTTTTAAAAAAGAAGAAGAGCATGTCTTTAATGATGTCTTCAATTGGAAGTGAAGACAGGGTATGTAGCACAGAAAAGAGGCTAGAGAAATAAGAAGGTTTACAATAAGTAGGTCCTTGCTGTAAGATTTGTAAGATATTTGCTTCACTATGAGCAAGTGTGAAGTCTTTGAAGGGTTGTATAAAGAGTAGTGACATATTATAGCCTGTCTTTTAAAAGGATCTTTCTTTTGTTGCCGGAAAATTAGAATGTGGTTACTAATAATAGAAACAAGTAGATCAAACAGAAGGATACTGAAAAAAAAATCTCAATGAGCCTTGATGGTGGTTTGAATGTGGAAAACTATGGTATTGACAGAGATTTTTTTTTTTTTCAAAATGTATTTCGAAGGTTCACAGAACTTGCTAATGCATTAAGTAGAGTATGAATTGAAGAGAAAAGGTAAGGATTACTTCAAAATCATGGACTTTGGGCCCTTGAAAAATAAAATTGATTTTTAGTAATAAGGGAAAGGTACTGGAAAAAATTARCTTTGGGGGAATTAATAGTTTTTTTATGTTAATGAGATTTTATTAGATATTTATATTAGTAAATATCTAGTAAAAAAAACTCCCTAAGTCAGAGTCCGAAACAAAATATGTGTAAATGTGATGCTAGGGAATGCCTTCACTGAGAAAGAAATGTGAAAGAAARAGGAATAAAGTAAAAAAGGAGCAAGAAGTGGTGTCTAGTGCATCACTGAGGTGGCCAGCTCTTGGATCAAGCAGTCCCAAGAGGTCTTGTAGAAAAAAGCATCATAGATGAGAAGGAAGAAGGGAAAAGCATTTATCCACCAATTCCATGTGTTTTTTTTTTTTTATCACAGATTGACCTCGAGGGCAATATTACTCTACACATCCAAAGTTTGCATTTATTGACATCAAGACCATGTCAGTTTAGTTTATGTTCAATGAAAGAAGGGACTCTGTGGGRTGGGAGACCACTCTCTGGTCAAACCCTTGTACAATTTGTGCCTCGGCCATTGGCTGGGCTAAGATCAAACTCACTTGTTAAACAGCTTGAAAATAGACAATTTACCAAGGTAAGGCTGATGTGATATGAGATGACACACTAGAAGAATCTGTGTCATATCCAATTGTAGATATCAAATAGGCAGTTAGTTACCTGTGAACCTGGGAGAAATGGCTAGATAGACAAATTTAAGCCAGACCCCTTAAACGAAAATGTTGATAAATTTAACTTTACAAAAATGAACTATTTCTTTATGGTTAATACCGTCAGAGGAAAAAAAGAAAAAGRGGAGACTTGAAATAAATAATGCAAAGTTTTAAATTTCCTACATTTATAGCAAAGTCACATGAAATAATTGAAAATAACAAAAAAAAAACCAATAGAATAAACAAAGAAGAAAATGGAAAAAAGAAAACATACATCCAGAAAAGGTTTTTTTTTTTTTTTTTATGCTCACTTTTTGCACACAGCTATTTAGAGTCTCCTCATCAGAAACAAATATGGGTGTGTGAGAGTCTTTTATCTTCTGAAGAATGACCCACCATATTCGTTAAAGTCTTCKTTTTCTGTGTTGATCTTCTGCATACTTATTCCATTTACTATTGAAAATGAGTATTGAGGCCTCCAGATAGTTTTATCCAATTGTCTCTCTATCCATCAGTTCTATCAGGTCTTGCTGAGAGAGTTTTGGGACTTTGATGAATAATTTACAATTGTTCTATCTTCCAAATATATTGATCCATTTATCATTACAGAATTATGGACCTCTTCAATAGTAACATTTTTTATTTACATCTATTGTGACTGGTGTTAGTATAGACACTATAGCTCTCTAGTTTAGTAATTGTGTGATGTACTTTCTTCCCCCTTTTACTTTTAACCCTTTCTTATTTGAATACCAAGAATGTCTTGCAGTGATCATAAAGTGTAATTATAATTTTTWAAATGTATTATTTTTGATTGGACATGGTGGAGTTTAGATCTATTTTTCTGTTTTCCATATTTATTATGCTTTTTTTCTTTTTTYCCCTCTAGTACTACTTTCTTTCATGTTAAATAGATGTTTTTCTATATATCATTTTAGTTACTTCATGGGCTTTGGGCCCATGAAAAAATCATTCACATTTTTACTATTTTCTTAGTGTTTCCTATGGGGATTAGAAAAAGCATTGTAATTTCAGAAAATCTAAAATAGTCTAACACCAAAGTTAGGTAGTACACAAAATCTGTTGCCCTATATCTGTTTTCCTTTGTTTTATACTACTTATGTAYAAACTAAATGTTCTTTACATTATAATCCTTTCAGTACAGTTTCATACTTATTGCTTTTGCTGTTGTTTTTTTCAAATAGGATAATTAAAAAATACAAATAAAAATGTATTATACTGACTTTGATATTTGCCTATGTTATTACTTTAATGGTATAATTTCTGTATTTTTAAAATTGCAATAATTTTAAATTCTGACATGAGATCCCTCTTTCTCATGTAAAAATGTGTTAGGGCTCCCAAACAGAACAGTTCCATTTTATGTATTTGGGGTTTTGGGGGTTTTTTGCCCATAGATGTGATTTATTTCTTGATATGAATTTGAGTTATTATGCAGTTTTTTCTTGTTTTTTTTTTTTTTGTATTTATTTCAGCCTGAAAAACTACCTTTTACCTTTCCTGCAAAGCAGGTCTGCAAACAAGGAATTCTTTCAGTTTTTGTTTACTTGGGATTTTTTTTCCCTTAATCATTGAAAGTGAGTTTAGCTGGATATAGAATTCTCAGTTTACAGTATTCTAAAACTTCAACTGTGTTATCCCATCATCTTCTAATCTCCATGGTTTTTTGATGGAAATTCAGTTTTTAATYGTTCCCAAAAACTTAAATGTAAGTTCTTTTCTCTGACTTAAATAATTTTGCGGGGCTTCTTGAATATGAAGATTGATATTGTTCATCTAATTTTGAAGAGTTTTGATGATTATGTTCCAGGTATTTACCCATCCTTTTCTCTGACATTCTATGTGTATACAGGTGCACTTGATATGAAGCCACATGTCTCTGGGACTCTGCTCATATTTTGTTCTGCTTCTCAAACTTGATAGTTTCTATTGAATTAGTTTCAAATTACTCATTTTAATTTGTCTGTGATCTCAAATCTGTTGTTTTGTCAATCTGTCATGATTTTAACCTCCTAAAGGCAAAATAAAAACTGATCAGCATGCCTGTTTTAGTAGGATAGTTGAAATATTTCCAAGAAAAGGAATACCATAATAGCAATCTGCTTTGGGATATTTTCTATTAGCTGCTTTTCACCCCTCTGTGTTTTTAGAATATTTTACTATATCTTTACACTTCTTATAATTTGTTTTTAAAAACTGAACAYTGTAGGTAACATATTGTAGTATATCTGATAACAACGTCATCTTACTGAAAATCTGTCTTTGTTTTCTTCTTTTTAAATTAGTCATTGATCTTGTTTGTCTTGTTTCTAGTGATTTGTTCAGTAGCTTTCCTGGGCTAATTTTCTAGATCCTTTATTCCCTTACTATGTGTGCATTGAATTATTTGCTAGCATCTTATTATTTTTTTTAAGGTTGTGTTTATTTTTAAGCCTGAGTCCCTCATTGTCACCTCTGTATCAGCAGAGAGATTGGTCAGAAGATTTTTTCTAAATTCCTCACCTGTTTGTCCTATGCTTTTAGTCAAGAGGATCTTCATATTTAGACTTCAGGAAGCTTGCAAAACAGCCTTGGCTTTAATTTCCTCTGCTTAGGGCTTCAGGATCAGCCATGGTGATTGAATAGGGCCTTCTCCTTTTTCAAGGCTTTCTTAGGCATGTGGCATTTTGTTAGATCTCCAGGAAAAGGTCACCGTTTTTTGGAGTCCCTGAGGGTGGTCTAGTTCTCCAGGTTCTTGTTTGCTGAAACTGAAATCACAATCATAGGCAACATCAATGCTGCCAGCATGTTGTTATTGTTTCAATGATGTCCTAGGGCAGGGCTGTTTCTGTTGAACTGATTCTGAATCAAAGCATATATCCATGTATTGTTAGACTGGAGATTATACATGAAACCTCAAGACTGAACAAAACAAAAGAACAGAATATTAACTCAGTAAGGTGCTTTTACCACAGCTAAGTCCATCCTCTTAGTATGATTCAAGGCTTCAGGTTTTTGACTATGTCACCACTAAGCTGCAGAGGGAGGAGGCATGATATTAGTCACATGTCAAAGCATTTCAGATCTTGCTAACTTTACTGAGGCTTCACAGCTTATTTTGGATTTTCAGTATGTTCTGTTTCCTTAATTAATTTACAGAATTCTGGGATATGAGACTTTAATGATTTTGCTCATAATTTTGTTGAGGGAGTATGTTTTTATTGAACTCATAATATGACATTCCAGAAATAAAATTAGCCCATTTGAAAATCTATATTAAATRTGGAATTTTATTTTCTCATGGCAATGATTCATAAGTACACATTTAAGTAAATAGAAACTAATAAGAGCAGCTTTTGAAATGGACACTTTTTGGGTCTAAGATTACTACCACTGTGATTTTGTAAATGTGGAAAATAAATTAAACTTTAGAATTTAAGTTCAAGGAGTTGAAAACAAAAAGTAAAATTGTAATTGAAAGGAACTAGATTTTTATCTGGCTACTAATATTACAAAATCTTAATATTTTGTATATCTTGGAAACAGCCAATAATTCCAGCACTTAAATGTTAGATTTAAATTGAAGAGAACTATGTTTTTATGTTTTCTGTACCTTATAAAATCACATAAAAACATAATTTCTAAGTGCATAAGAAATTATTTTTTTAAACAAATGAAAAAACTGAAAATGGAAACACCTTCTTAGTTCTTTCTGAAATATACTTTTAAATAATTGCATGAGCAGCTTAATAGGTTTTTGGTTTCTAAATTTTCTTAAAGATTTTTAATTGCCATCCTCATCAATTTGGGCTTTAAATATTTTGCTTAATAATGGAATTATACTTTGCAGTTCATTTTTCTCTATGATTCAAACTAAAATATATGTAACAGTCAAAACCAAAATTTAACATTGTAAACATAGTGAATTAAATTCAATTTAGTGCAATATTTATTAAGGATAAATATTGTTTTAAGATAGTTTAGAAAATGTGGCTGCCAAGAAATTCATTTAATTTTGATCTGTTTTTACTACCTTAAAAAGTCATTAATAAATCTSTTCTTTGTTTCCTTATAAATAAACTGGAAGTAATAATATTACCTGCCTCAAATCTGGTTTGAAGTAATAATATATTACTTTACATCTTTGGATTTCTAGAACATTTAGGGTAATATATATACTATATACCTGCTACTGCATAATAGATGCTTAATAAAGATTAATATGAATTTCTGGATTGAGAATGGACCCTCTACCATGTACATCACAAATATTTTATAAATTCACTAAGTAGAATGAATTAGAGTTTCTGTCCTTGGAAGAGTTATTACAAAATCTTATCTTCACTCCAGATATTGAACTGATATGTGTGGCAACAGAAATTATCTTGTTAAAAGTCACTCTAACATTTAATAGGTGTTTTATATTTATATAAACTAATGTCTTTCTCTTTCCTATGAAAATGTACTCTTTTGACACTGAAGGTKTTAGTAACATCCCTTATAAAACATTTTCAGATTTTGACCTGATTATCTACCAGCTTCTAGCAGACCCATCATTGCCTGCTCATTTTATTTATGTAGTGATAACACAGAAGACGATTGAGACAATGGAGTTGTGTACACAATATAATTGAAAATTTATTACATAATGATGACTTGATACGTTGATCCACTTCACTGATTTTATATATATATATAACGTATACACGTATCACATGTGTATATATATGTATGTGTGTATGTGTTTGTGTATATATATATATATATATATATATATATATCGAACTAAAAAGCCTCTAAACAGCAAAAGAAACAATAAGCAAAAAGTATAGGATAAAATATTTATAAACCATATATTTGGTAAGAAGTAAATATCCAAAATATGTAGAGAACTCAAACCAATATCCAAAAAAGGAAAAACAAAAAAAAAAAGAAGAAGATAAAGAAAGGTGGGGGGGGGAAGAGAAATTGCTTTTTAGTATGTATGGGTTTTTTAATATGGTTTAAGAATACCATATGAATTTGAACACTCTTTCTTGTAAACCCCACTTGTGAGTCAGAATAATTAGTCAAATAAATGTTTAGAAAGTTTACMAAGTTTTGATTCCTGACCTACTGTAATGAGTCACTCTGCATTACAGATTGACCAAATGCTTAGAGAATACAATACAGTGTCCAATACCTTGAGCTCATTCATCAAAGACATTTACTCAAAGTCTGCAGAGCCCTTTATCTATTAAAAAAAAGAAAGAAAGAAATACTTTAAAATGTGCTGCTGCTCTTTCATGGTGAGGCATAAATTGTTGTCCCAAGTTAGAAAAATTTCAAAATGCAATTGCTTGATGAAATATCTATTGTCTAGTATCACAATGACATGCTTTTAYGAATGGTCACATTTAGAAACATTATTTAATACATGCTTCCTATTTTTTATTAGTACCAAGAAGTACATCATCTTGGATCTCAGAGCTGAATCATAAAGTGACTAGGGAAGTGATGAACGGCATTTCTTTACATAATATGTTCAAAGGAATTTTACATCTTATAAATTTAAGAAAAGGATAGATTTGAGAAATAAGAGTAGGAAAGTATGTTGCAGCAGACAGAATTCTCCAGAGAAACAGAACAAATAAGTTGTTGATTAGATAGATAGATAGATAGATAGATTGATTGATTGATTTTAAGAAATTGGTTCACATGATAGTGGAGATTGGCAAATCAAATATTTACAGGATAGAACAGAAGACTAGAGATCTAGGAAAGAATTGTGATTCAAATTCAGATGAGAGTTAAGTGTGGTCGTGCACAGCTACTTGGAGTGGAGGAGCTGAGAAATGATCATGAGTTCAAGGCCATCCTGGGCAATTTAGTGAGACACTGTCTCAAAACAAATTTTAAAAGGGTTGGGGGAGTAACTCAAGGGTTTGATATTCATTTTGCATACTTGCTGCACTGAATAAATTCCCAGTGCCATAAAAATGAATTAATGACAGAGACATAGCCACATTAATGTTTATAGCAATACAGTTCACAATAGCTAAACTGTGGAACCAACCTTGATGCCCCTCAATAGATGAATGGGTAAAGAAAAYGTGGTACATATACACAATGGAATRTTACTCAGCAATGAAAGAGAACAAAATCATGGTATTTTCAGGTAAATGAATGGTGCTAGAGAAGATAATGCTAAGTGAAGTTAGCCAATTCCAAAAAGCCAAAGGCCAAATGTTTTCTCAGATATAAGGAGGCTGATTCATAGGGGACTTGGGACAGGGAGTATGAGAGGACTAGATAAACTCTAGATAGGGAAAAGAGGTGGGACGGTAAGGGAGGAGGCAGGGGGTAAAAAAAAATGGTGGAACAAGATGGACATCATTACCCTAAATATATGTATGAAGACACKAATGGTGTGAATATTCTTTATATATATTATATACAACCAGATATGAAAAATTGTGCTCTATATGTGTAATATGAATTGTAATGCATTCTGCTATCATATATAATAAATTTTATATCATATATAACAAATMAGAATAAATAAAAAAGATATACAAAAATGAACGAATGAATCAATCAATAAATAAATAATTCCAGATATAAGCCAGGTACACACCTGCAATTCTAGCTATTTAAGGAGTTGAGTCTGGATGATCATAAATTCCAGGCAGGCGGGGCAACCCGGTCTATTTATCAATCTATCTATCTAATATACATATATAAAATCCAGAGCTAATTGACAGAATTCCCTCTTCAGGCAAAATCAGTCCTTTTCTATTGAGGCTTTCAAYTGATTATATGAGGAGACTTTTATACATCATGAATAGTAAACTAGTTTACTCTAAGTCTACTGATTTAAAGCAGATGCTCTGTTATAAGTTTATAGCACCTGTCATCCCAGCTAATTRGTAGGTGGAGGCAGAAGGATTGCAAAGTTTGAGGCTCCTCTGGACAATTTAGAGAGACCSTGTATTAAAATAAAATTTAAAAAGGATTTCATTTGTGGCTCAATGGTATTATACTTACTTAGAGTACTTGAAACCCTCAGTTCAATACCCAGCACTGTGAAACAAACAAACAAAAAGTCCACTCACTTAAATTCCATAGTATTACCTTCAAATACCCTC